CGTTTCTGCCCAAGTTAGGCGTCTCACCAACGCCATCCCCAATTTGAATTCTCCAGCTTTTCACCGCGTAGAATCCTCCGATAACAAATATCACGTTCGAAAAAGTTTTAATCTCGTTCGTTTCGTTTTCGAAAAATTGCATATCCTCCTCTCTCTCTTTCTCTCAATAAACCTGGAAAAGGGGATAACGAGAGGACGAAACGAGGGGAAAGGAATTGAAGAGGGATCGAACGATTTCGAGGCGCATGCAGCGGGATATTACCCGCTTAATGACCCCCACGTGGATTACTTTAGCCGTATCGCGAAACGACTTTTCATCGTCCACCTTCCTTCTCCCCTGTTTCCTCCACGAAAAAAGCAGCAGGTTATTCTTTCGAGAATTCGTCTCTTACTAGCGTTCATATAGCTAAAAATCGGTGAATAGGAGATATTTTTAGAACGTAAAGAGGGTTGATTATTTGTTTCGCATTTGTGGAATATACAGGGATGGTGAATTTACGATAATGGTTTACACATGCTTCTCTCGAATTTTATTTCTTTCTTTTTTTGAGGATTTAAGGATTTGTTAAGGATTCGTTCGATAACGAAGGGATTTGTAATCGTGTTTAATTCGTTGATGATATTGCGAGGGTCGAAACTGATAAAGGGGATTTTTGAATATAGAACGATAATTGCAATTCTTTGGATATAATTATTGTTCTTGATAAATTTATTAATCTTTTCTGGTAATTTTCTGGTATAATTGTTTTCGCCTTCTTTTCTCTTTTAAAGGCGAAACTATTAAGGATTTGTACACGATTTTCTCCGAGCCGTGGCCAAGTCGTAATGACTGGGAGCCAGAACAAGAAAACGAGGAAGCTCGACTGTAAATGGATAATCAGAGATGGCTATTTAATCTTACGAGCTATTAAATCTTACGTGGCTAATTCACCGCGATGTATATATCGCTGTTTATTATTATACAAGTCTCTTTTCGAGACGAGAAGCATTGAAAGAGGGATACTTAAATACCAGATATACCAATCTTCGACCTTCGATAAAATAATCGCTGCCTTTTTTGGCCGATTTGTCGAGGAAAGCCAAGAAATTCGACAAGAACGAATCTTTTTGTATTGAACAATTCAATGTTGAAGCAATAGTTTCGTCTTTCTGAGATATCTGCAAACTGTTTTAACGTAGCCTGGACGCAAACTATAAATTCTGGCTACGTGCCTGGTATTCGTGTCCAACGTCCATTTATCTTGGAGGAATAAAACAATCCATAATTTTTCATTATCGAAAAATATATCGTCGAATACGTGTGTTATAATAAATCATCCGATATAGAATCATCGAATTGAATTTTCTCGATTTCACTCTTTTATTTACCAAAAATATAAATATATATATATTCGCGCAATTAATGCACGCAGTCATGAAATTTCATTTGACAAAAAGATATATACGCCACTCTCGAGCCTCTCGATCCAAAATGGCGTAGATAAAATTGATGTGAAACGTCGATCGAATAATCGCTCGTCCAGATCCAATAAAGAAATTTACGTTATTCCAATTATTCTCGAAACGTGTCCACCCTATTCCTTCGTAAAAATAAAAACGATAAAATAAGAATATGATATATTGTCGGATTAAACGGAATCTTTCTCGTCGAAAAGGGAAAAAGTTTCGATAGGCGTTCCTTCAAGAATCGAAATCGAGGGATGATGGTTTTTATGACTGCTGCGGAAAGATGGAAGCTCGACGACGACCGAGATCGCTATTTCCGCCCACTGTTCGAGGAAATACTCGCGAGAGTTCTGATAAGGGAGGGTCGTATACGTAAGATAAGAATCTTGTAATGAGGGCCCCTTTTATCAGAGGATAAATAAAATATCGGGACTTGTCCGCGTATTCTGCCATTTTTCGGAAATTTGTCGTAATTTTTTGCTCGATCGAAAACGATCTACGACGTTGATCGAACGTTTCTTCGGTTTCTTCAGGACAGGGAGAGCTTGAGTTTTTCTCTTTGAGAAATCCAAGAGTCTCTCGACGGGGATGGCCCCGAAGGGGGTCGAATCTGACTTGCTAAGTCGTAGATTCCGGGGACGTGTATTGTGCAAAGACAAGTAACGCGATTGGCCGGTCCCTTGGAGCGCTCCTGTTTGCTCGAATGTTTCTGGCCCATTTATTTTCGAGTTTGAACGCCCTATTTATCTTTCGATTTCTCCAACAGTCGATTCTGTTTGCGCCGACTGTAATCGTAAATATCTAGGGGGATTATTTCGATTCACTTAGTTTTTATTTGGATAGAAAAAAGGAATAAAGAAAGAAGAATTGTTCGAAACAGATTTTAGAAATTAGAAATTAGATGATCGATCTCGTGTCTTCGTCTTCTTCTCGAAACCACTTTTCGAGTTATCTTTGGTGATTTACTAACTTTCTACAAATTATATCTGACGATGAATCTCTTAACCAAACGAACCGTTTATATTAACCGTTTCATCTCGTTGAACGTTATTTGATCCTCGAATCAAAGTGGCTCGAGAGAGATGTTTGAAAAATTATTTATCGCCATAAAATATTCGTTCAAAACGTGTTCGCATGTCGAGTTCGATTTTTCATCGGCAGATGGAGCTAGTGTAAAACATTTACTCGAATATGTTTATTATTATTACTCGTTTAAAGTGGAAAAATCGTGGTGCGATCTAATTAATAACCACGATTGTGTTAAATAATGAACACTGAAAACTTAATTACGACTTTTTCGCTTCGTTTAAATTAATTTAAACGTCGAGGGCGGTGTTCAGAGAGAAGGCTGTTTGTTAGAGCAAACAGTATTTTAATAGTCGTAAACGAAATTATAACGGAATTTTAGCGCTCCGTTTTTGTGTGGCTTTGTGTGGGTTTCGAGAATTTTCGCGAACATTCTTTTTCAGTTGTTTGCACAACCAAGTTGAAAAAATAATAAGCTCTTGAAAAAAACTGTCGAAACAATCGAGCACCAAAGATAGAAAATAGTGATTCCACAGAAAATTGAAACGTCGGAATATTGTTGTTCCATTTATCGATTTCACATAAACCGTGTTACAACGTTGAACCAATTAAACGTAATCACCGCGTCGTTCATCGACGAAACGCAACACGAGCCGAATTTAACAGATAATTTGAATCGAATAAACTATTTCTCTTCTATTATATTTCGACGAGAAAATACCATCATAATTATAAATTAAAACAAACAAAAGAAAATAATCGATTAAACCTCCTCCTCTGAAAAACGTTACAATCGTGGAAGAAAAATTCAGAATATATATATATATATATATCCATCCCCGGTTTGTTTGGAGGTCGAGCGGTGGTCAAGAACCGCGGTGGTTATTTTCGTTGAATGAAAAAGTGGTGAATGGTGGGCATGCACCATTCAATCACGGCGGCCAGGTGGTTGAAAAGATCGATGCCGCTGTGCCGACGATGCGACACACCACGAGATCGTCTTCCAGGTGAGGGTTCCGGTTCCCATGGAAACCGGACTTGCCCCGGTTCTCTCCCCTAGGTCAGGGCCATCCGGTTCCTGCGTACCTTCCACCCTTCCACGGATCTCCCCTCCCCGTCTCGTGGGGATATCGCATAACAGGTGTGTGTTTACCTCCCTTCTTCCGCGAAAAATTTTCCTCCCCGAAAAATTCTGCTCAATTTTCCTTCTTCTTCTTCTTTTCTCTTTCACGCGGTGAAGAAAATTCTCTAAATAATTTCGATCTTGTGGGGATCTCAGGGCGTAGAGAGAGTTTCTATATCGTCGTCGTGGAGATTATTTCGATATCCGAGCTGAAAAGAAGAAGGGAAGAGAATCTTGGATGGCTGCGAACAATGAAATTTTTTACGAAAAAGAAAAACTTATCGAAGCGAATTATCTATACAGATGATATTTCGGGATCACAGTCGTTTTAATATAATTTCATTCCGATTCCCTTGCCAAACCTCGTCCTCCAACGCGAAAATTCCTCGACGAGGGTCGCCATAACCGGAGCATCGCGGAGGTTCGTTCAACTCTCTCCTTCTTATCTAATAGAGAGAGGGGGGAGGAAGAAGAAAAGTTATTATTTGCGGTTAGCCAACGACTCTGTAAAATAACTTTCACGGATCCTTGTATTATCCTCCCGTTTATTTGTCGACCCGCATTTTACAAACTTCCTTCTCCGATCCGCCATTTTTTTTGCGGTTTCCAACCCCTGTTACCCAACTTTTGAACTGTATTCCCGCGAGTTTGTTGGTCGAAAAAACAATTGGAGGCGGTTGAAGCGATAATTAAATATCGGGAATGGAACGGATAGAGAATTTGATATTTCTCTCTCTCTCTCACTCGAGGGATATCGAGTTTCGCGGAAGAAGAATTTGGTATAATAGAATAATAGAGTCCTCGCGTTTCGAATGTTTTCATCGTATTTCTATTTTTTTTTTCTTTTTCTTTCTACTAAAAAATATTTTCCGCGTAATAATAATAATAATAATAATAATAATAATAATAATAATAATAAAATGCAGTGGAATTAGTATTAGAAATATAGAAGAGAATAAATAATAATAATTAATAAATTGTTCGATAAATTTGAAAAGGAGAAGAAAAATCTGATCGGCGATAAATATTCGTGTATTCCTCCCTTCTCGAATACACGAATTAATTAATTTTCCACTTCTCGAAAAATATCAAATTCTCATCCAATTTCTCGCCTCGTCTTCGTTTCACTTTCGTCTCGAAATAGCGCACAGAGAATTAAGAGAATCACGATTTCATATATATATATATATATCGAAGAAAGTATCGTGGCAGCAATTCCTCCAATTTCTGCCAAGCTTCTCGTCCGCCTCTCCAAAAAGAGAAGTCAAAAGCGAGAGCCGGCGGTTCGGACCGTTTATCTCCGGCGGAACGGAGAGAGAGCGCGTGGAAGGGGGGGACGGAGCGAGAGGGGAGTGGAGGAGACGTGGAACGAGACAGTGGGCCCGAGTGTTTATTCAGTAACGAGGACGGAACCGGCCGCTTCGGTTCGGGATCGATCCGGTGGACGCAACGCTGAAAAATCCTCCTCCTCGTCGTCGATACGTGAGTTTTAATTCCGCCCTCGTTCAGAGACCAGAAATTCACTCCCTTCTTCTTTAACCCTCTTCAACCCCTCCTGTTCCTCCCTTTCCCTTCCCTTCCCTTCCCTCTTGGGAATAAGAATCGAAATAGGAATTATTATCAAGTATTGTCATATTATCCGATCTTTTCTCTTTCTTTTCTTAATCTTCGATTAATTTCGAATAAATAATAATTATTTATAATATTACAATTTATTTATTTATAATATTATAATATTATAATTTCGAATAAATTCGAATTATTTCGTGTTTCGTCAGAGATACACGGAAGAATAAAGAAGAATGTATGTATGAATATCATTATCGTTGACGTACCTCCGTTGCTACATCAGAGGAATTGCGCGAAAGGAATCTATTTATATTATTGTTTCCTAAGACGTAGTACGGACTAATAACAAACTTCTCGGTCGTTTATTATACAATTTCTAATATAGCCGTTGTTAACGAATGATTATTCCCCGATACTCGATGAATCGTATATACATATTGTTCAAGATAGATATTTTTATTCTTGTACAAAATATATATGAGAAAAATCGCAATTAACTGAGAATTGGAAGAATACAGATTTCGATTCCTATTCGAAAGCGACTCGAAGCCAGGAAAGATTTCTTGGATATAAAAGAAGTGTTCGCTTTTGAGATTTTATTAGGGGGCCTCGAATCCGGAACATTGATTATTAATTTAGAAAGCGTTTGTTTTTGAATGTTTCGACACGGAAGCTTTTATTTTAATTTCTTCAGGACTCGCAAAACGGTTCATTGATTATCGAGGATCGTTCGTATATTCCGGTCGAGATTGAATTCCCTCCCCCTTTCTCCCCCGATCGAATCGATCCGGAACTCGAACTCGAATGGACGCATAAAAATCTGCACGAATTTCCGGCAGACCGTACGTGACGAACGCCTCTGCGAAAACGATGGTCGAAAATTGTGAGGGGGGAGAATGGATTAATAGGATCGAGGAGGACGAATCTGTATGCGCATAAAGGGTTCGTAAATAATTGGAAAAATATTCGTAGACGATATTCTTACGTCGATACCTGGCTGTGTTCTTTTCCTTGGAGTTAAAAAATTTCTTATCCCTTCGAAACATCCTCCGTTTGAAATTTTATTGGATAACGTCGTTCGTATTATTGTTAAATAAATCTCGATGAAAATTTTCCCTTTGAGATAATGGCGGAGTCGAAAACGTATATATTTTCCACAGGAGGAGAACATTTTTATTTCTCTTTCGAGAATAAATAACGCATTGATATTCGTCGCGTTTAGCCTGGGCTCAATCACGGGCGGAACTTCCGGCTCGAGACTTGTCGAGGCGTTGGTGATCGACTTGCTCGAATTCCGCCGTTTCGAGAACTCTTCCACCGGAAGAAAAGCGATCGAATATTACAAGTTCTCGACAATTTTTTAACTATTGTCTGCTTTTCGTGTGATAATCGCGTTGTTTGGGCGGATCTCAAATTGCGAGAACTCGAAAAAATAGCGGAGTTGTTCGAGTGGAAAGCGATCGAAGATTACAAGTTCTCGACAATTTTTTAACTATCGTCTGCTTTTCGTGTGATAATCGCGTTGTTTGGGCGGATCTCAAATTGCGAGAACTCGAAAAAATAGCGGAGTTGTTCGAGGGATTGAAAGGATGGAGCAATCGTGGAGGGGAATCGTCGCGTTGCACGCCTTTCCTTCTCCTCCTCCTCCTCCTCCTCCTCCTCCATTTTGTCGTCGCGGTTAAGTCTCGGAATGCTGGTCGTGTTTTCAGAATAGAACACGAGACGGAAATATTGATAGGCGCTCCCTGCCAAGAATGTCACGGCTAAGCGGCTAGGAGAGAGAATTTTTCCACGATTCTTTTCCTCAATGGAGCTGGACGGGATCCCTGCCTCTATGTATAGCAGCGATTCGCGCGCGCCATTCGACTTCGACGGTGATAAATCGACCGCTTATATTTAGCGGATGGAATGGTTCCCTTGGCGAGGAAAACCGGCCTTCCTAAGAAATCGTCGGTCTGACGAATGTCAGAAACTGATGCACCGACGTGATACACCGTTTCATTCGAGGACGAAGGGGTTGAAATCGTGAGTCGATTGGATTTAGAATTTTGAAGATATTGAAGAGAGAGCCAATGGAGCTCGTCCCCTTTCTTTAGAAGTATGTAGAAAATTATGGATTCGTTAGATCTAAGTAAATAAAATTTTGTATTTGGAAAAACTATTTTTTAGATGAAATTTAGAATTTTGAAGATGTTGAAGAGAGAGCCAATGGAACTCGTTCCCTTTCTTTAGAAACATGTAGAAAATTATGGATTCGTTAAATTTGTAAATAAGATTTTATATTTGGAATAAGAAAAACTATTTTTTAGATGAGATTTAGAATTTTGAAGATTCGAGAGAGCCATCGTTGCCAATTTTTCGTCCGTTGAGAGACCTTCGATGGTGGATTTGAAAAGAAGCTCGTCGCCTTTCTTTAAAAGCATGTAGAAAATTATAGATTCGTTAGATTTAAGTAAGTAAAATTTATATTTGGAGCAGAGAAAACTATCTTTTAGATTAGATTTAGAATTTTGAAGATATTGAAGAGAGAGCCAATGGAGCTCGTCTCTTTTAGAAGCATGTAGAAAATTATGGATTCGTTAGATTTAAGTAAATAAGATTTTGTATTTGGAGCAGGAAAAACTATTCTTTAGAACTTTGAAGATATTCGACGAGAGGTTTCGTCGAGAAATCTTTGATATGGTAGATTGAAAAGAATATCGAAAAGAATATGAAATATCGAAAATTATATTTTGAATTCGTAAGTGAAATAAAATTTTATACTCGTCAATAATGAAATTCATTCGCGGAAAGAATCGAGGGAAACAATGAGTTTTTTAAGGGAAACTCCACGAATAAATTCTTATTCATTGAAGGCAAAGTCGATAAGAGTCTAACAAAATTTCCACACTCGCCTCGTTTCTCTCATCCCTTCTAATCGCTCTTCAAGATGACGCAACTCGTTCAAACGCATAATCCATATACATGTTTCATTTTTACTGCGCTTGAGTCAAGAAAGGACGCAATAATAATATTTCAAGGGAGTAAATTCTCAAAGAAGACAAAAGTCGCAGGAATAACAATCCCAACCCTGTCGTAAATCGAGTCGAATCGAATTAATACCGGTCAAAGAGAGAGGAGGCGGCCGTAATAGCCTTTATCGGGCCGCCACCTGGTGGCGGCCAAAGATAGAAGGACGATTTGCATAAATACACCACTTTTTCCTTTCCCTGCAAACTCCACCAATAATTATTCCACTCGTTTCGTTATTGGCCCCCGAGTATCGAGCCATCCACCACCATTAATCCAGCTTTGCGATCCTTGGAAAATCCCCCCTCCCCCTCCCTGATATTCTTCTCCCTTTCACACGCGAATCCCGCCAAGTCGAGAAATGGTCGAATCGTGTAACGACTCGATGGGGGGGAGAGAGAGAGAGAGAGAGAGTGGAGGGGGTGGTTCGTTTCTCGCAAACTCTCTTGACTTAACGACGAATAGAAATATCCTCGAATCAGACTTCCAAATCCTCGAAATCCCCCCCTCCACTGCTCGAAATCAAGAATTTCATCCCGCCATATTCGATGGAAATTGGAATTTTTCACCGAATAATTCGTTCGTTTTGATCTTTTGTTCCTCCGTTATATTATCATAACGCGATCCTCTCCCGTTTTTCTCTGAGATTAATGGTTGCATTGCGAAGATATGAGGAAGCCAAGAGGGGGAGGGAGGGAGCTTGAAACTCGCGCGACATTTTTCACGTATCCTCCCCAGGATTGTCGAGGGTTGAAATGACGCAGCGAGGCGGATTCTACTCTCGTTGGAGCGAGAGATTGTTATTAGCTCCGTGATAAATCGTGGATAAAACGGTATTATTATCGAAGTTTCGATGATACTTCAGAGCGGAAGCAGACTCCGAGATTCGAGGTCTCGGATCGATAATCGAAATAAGCAAATACACATTGATGTTCCATTCGAATCTGTTCGATTAATGTGATAACGACGATCGTTGTCGAAACACTCTTGTGAAAAATTCCGTGAAAAACGAGCAAGTAAACAAAACGAGTCCAGGAGTCCATCTGCTTCTTGGAGAGGGAGAAAAGAAAAGACTAAAAGGAAAGAGAGAGAGAGAGAGAGAGAGGGGTTGTTCTCGAACACAATAGCGGAAGGGGATGCATTTGCATTCGAGTTGGAATTCGTTAATTGTGCGTGGTGGACGAATAAAACGGGAAGAAGAGGAGGAGCAGGAAAATGGTCTCTATTCTGCTCTCGTCCCGTTCGCGGGAGGGGGAAAAAAATGCAAACAACCTCTTCCTCAAGCTCGTAATGAAATCTCGAACTCGGTGTACCTTGGGAAAAGTGTTCGTCGTCCCAGTCTGAAAGTTTGGGTTAGGTTTTTCGTAGTTGGACGGAGAGCCAACTTTCCATTGTGAGTGAGTTTGCGAAATTGTCGAAGACTTGGAGGGAGGAGATGAAAGCAGGTGAAAAAAAGTGAAAGATCGAAGGTTTCAACCTGACGATAATCGAGTGTCAAAGAAAAATTTGAGATAATGTTTATTTGTCAAAATTTTTCGTGAAATTTAATATTACTTAATAATATTACTTAATATTAATTAATTATTTGTTATTTGATAAAGAGAGATTGACGAAGTAGGAGAAAGTTTTCATCAAGATTGACTCTCGTTGCTTCCGAAAATTACGAGGGATTTTTAAACAGAAACAGAGCAACTCGAAGGAAAATTTAAAATAACTATCGAAATTTAATCGTGTCGTTGGAAAAACTTAACTTGAGAGAATCGTCGTGGGAAAACTTTTCGTCCATTGGAGAAATTGATGAAGTGGAAGAAGAAAATGATTTTCGTATAGTTAATAGAACGAAAGTTAATTAAAACTCTGCTTGTTTCTCCCGCTGATGATAATTACGAGATACTTTTGGGTGGAGAAAGAAGTGAATTGAAAGAATTTGGGACGGTGGTGTTGTTCTATGTCCGATTTCGGTTGTGCCTCAGGGGTGTTTTCGAAGCGATGATCGAGGGGTCGAAGAATTAGGTAAGAAAGAGAAATCCGGTTATGAATTTTCCCGGGCAAACTTTCCGGCCAGCCGGGACCCCCGTTCTTCCCCGAAGTTGGAGATCGAAGCGGAGGCGAGATTGAAATTTTCTCCCCTTCGAAAGTAGATTCTCCCTTCGATCCAATTTCGCCTTTCTGATATTTCCATTTTTTCCATTTCCAGAATTTGACTTTTGAAGAAGAACAGCACAACTCTTTTCAATTCTCCTCCAACCAACCAACTCTCACATACGCGAATTCTCGATAAATTCAAGAGGAGCTCGCTACGATCACGAGTTATATTATATTCGAATATAAATTCGCCGCGTTACACGATGAATTTTAGAATCTTCGAATTAATCTCAACATCTGCAATTCTGCAAAATCGGTCTCAACCCGTTTTGAGAGCAAACTGCTCTCGTTCACGACTTATTATTAAAAGGCGCGTAATGGCGGACGTGATCGCGGTTATTAATACAGGATCGACTTAATCGCCGCCGGTAAACAAACCCGGCCGAAACTTACATCCGCATGCATAATTAATGGACCACCACCACGATTTCGATAGAGTGGAATTATGCATGAGCCTGGCTCGCCTTTTCTGACGGGTCCCGCGTTCCCTTGTTGCATTTCCCCTCTCCTCCTTCCCTATGCATCGAATTCGTTAAAATCTGCCCGTTCGTTATTCTTCAGAGATAGACAGACAGAGAGAGAGAGAGAGAGAGAGCGAACCGGAGTTGCCCCTTATTAATTTAAACTTGATTTAAATTAATAACACGAAAATATTTAATTTAAGAGGAGGAAGCATCTGAAGCAGAACTTTGACGAGTAAACCGATCTGATTCAAGTAGATCGAAATAAACCTGCAAATGCCGAATACTCTTAGGGGATGAAAATGATGGATTTCGATAATAATAATATTCTGTCGCTTTGGAATTCGTGAAAGAGACATTATGTTATATAAATAGAAAAAAGGAACAAGATCAAATGGTTATCGATCAAAGAAAAATTTTCTTCCAATTCCTAATCTTTTCGATCTCGTTTCGACTTTTATCTCCTTTCCATATATCTGCGGGACGAAGAGGAGAGAGAGAGAGAGAGAGAGAGAGAAGACACGTGGACAAAGTATCAAGTTCCTTTTTCTCCGATATTAAAACGGATCGAGCCTCTCTCTCTCTCTCTCTCTCTCTCTCTCCAAGCTTCTCCTCGCCCACGTCGCGATAACGAAACATGTAAATCTCCCCGTGACTTCCTTGTTCACGGTGATTGGAAAACTCGACGGAGCGTGCCGTCTGGTATAATGAAGTGCCATATCACTGGCGGGGAACGAATGGGCGCAAACAGATCGATGCATCGCCTTCGCCCACGCGTTCTTCGGCCACGCAGATTTATTTTCTCGAGCAAATTCCACGAGAAATTAAAGTGAAACGAATACTCTCTCTCTCTCTCTCTCTCTCTCTCTCTCTCTCTCTCTCTTGGATTATCCTTTGAACGAAGGTAGCCCGTTCGTTCTCGAAGCGAAACGAGATTCGAAACGTTTCTTTCGGTTGTTGGATGTTTCGTACGAGTTTCGTTGCACGAATATATTTGTATTAAATTAGAATGAGAGTTTTCGACGATAATTCGAATTCGGGATTTTAATAATCGATATCTGAAGTCGTTATATTTATATTTAGTAGAAATTCTATTTACGAGTCTCGAACTCGTCGGATAAACAAATATTCGCAGTAGTATAATAGGAGTTTTATTACGTATGAAACGATTTCACACGAAATACTGTGTTTTCCATACAAGATGGACGCGTTGGATATTGATTAAAAAAGAAAAAGGGGAGGATTCGAGTGATCATAAACCCGAAAATAATTTTTCACTTCCCAATGTTACACGATATAATCGATATATATATATATATATATATATATATATATATATATATCCTGCGTCCTCAGACGATGGAATCTGGCACGTCCTGTTTTATTACACTGTATTTATTATATATGTGT